TTGTTGCTAGTAGCTTCTTGTTCCTAGCAGTGATGCCAGGAGCTACTTGCTCCTAGTAGCGATGCCCTTTGCTACTGATAGCTTGTCAGCGTGGTCCCATAAATATATTCGTCACATGAGTATATATGAGTAATGTGGGCTTATGTAGAATACGGTGTTTAAACTGCTGTGAACCTGTTGTTTCATTTCTTCAGGACCTTTTTCAAATTTGTTCAATATCCTTTTCTGTCCTTCCAAGGCCACGGTTGTTTGCAGCAGAGCCCTGGGAGCAGCTGCGGCGGTGGGCGCAGCCGGTGCGGTCTTCGGATTTGATCAACCGATGAAATTTCGACAGGCTTTGGATTTGGACCTTGCTTCTTTTTTTCTGGATATTTTCTTGGAGCGGGGGGTGAGAATGCTGCAAAGAATGTAAGGCAGGCAAGCAGGTAAGGAGAAACTATTATTAATTAGCAAAAATACTACCACCTACTTGATGCAAAAGGGCTCGAATCCTTGAAGAATCCTTTGCATGATAGTTTCCTAGAACTTTGTGGACACGTTGTGGACATATAGTTATCCTTTGGACCTTTCTTTTTCCTTCCTTTTTCCCTTCCGTCTTTCTTCATCAAGGTGATTAACAGCCACTGCGACTAAAGGTCTTTGATGGCAATGTGCTCCGTGCCGACCTTTCTGGTCCACGTTTGGCCACTCGGAATTGTGACATTTTTGACCAAAGGTGCATTGGCCATTGGTTTGTGTGGAGCCTGCGAAAAAAAACAAGAGCAAGTATTAATTCGACAATAGTTTTTTGCTTTTGGGTTTTAAACAGTTGAACACAGTTCGAGGTTGCCCCGCTCATCAAACTTTCGGGAGTATGATAGACAAGCATAGCATAGATCTAAAATGATGAAGAACATGTGAGATCACACCAACAGCGACTATGGGCAACACATAGCCATACATGGCCTTTGTACGCTGTGTCAAAAAGAGAGATCATGTCACCAATGATTCACCAATGGTACTATCAAAGAGTCTTCCAACCGCTGCGATTCAAGGAAGGCCTCAAATATCCGCCACCAGAATGACAAAAGGGCGGGTTTGCTGCGCAGCTTTAACCTGGTTGTGTTTGAGCCAAGGATCGTGCATCAGACTTGCATTTTTCTGCACAGAATGGTGGTCACTTGGTAGTTGCAGGTGCAGAAGACAATAACTGAAGATGGCCGAAGCTGCTCAGCCCACTAATGACGGTTTGAATGGCACAACTGGAGGATGCAATTGGTTGCAACATCATTTTCCTCCGTTGCTGACCAATACTGACCATTGTAGTGGGAGTTTTCCCTTCAGCGGGAAGTGCTGCCAAGGCTACCGTCCTAAAACATTTCAGAAGGCAGTGTCGATATTGAGGCAGTAGTTATTTCTTGGTGTCTGATCTTTGCTTTGCGGCTTGCTGAGGGTGTTAGCTTGGTTGTGTCCTTCATGCAGGCGTGAGCAGATGATTTCCGCGGACATGCTGCAGGAGTTCTCTACCTTTGTCCAGGCTGGACTGGACTCCTCCTATGCCTCTTCAAAGCCTTGCCCGCGTACTTGTAGCCCTCTACATTGACGTCAAGTACTCCATGTTGGTAGTACTTACATGTACTTGGTACTTTGCTACATATTCTGATTTTAGCGCATGTTTCCAGATCTTCTGATCTCTTGCTTTTCGTTGCTTCTGCTAGGAGCTCAACGACTTGGCAGAGAGTCAAGAAGCCGCGTTGGCCAATGTCTGGGACCCAGGTGTTTCTGTCACTCGAACAACATTTATCATCCATTCAACATCTTTTGAATGCATCGTTGATAGCCTTGGACAATCCCCTGCTTTGATATTTGGTATGCTTTGTGTTGTGGTGCTGGGTTACTCCGTGGATTTCAATTGGACACAACTTGTAAGACTCTTGTAAGACTTGTAAGACTCTCAGACAGTTCGGTTCTTGTGGCTAGGAGCTGAGAAACAGAGTTGTCGCCCTCATTCCAAGGTCACAGTGCCCGATGATTTCCTGGACCCCATCATGTCTGAGATCATGGCAAGGGACCAAGCACATGTGACACACGCACACATGTCTAGAGTCTAGACATATCATGTCTCATATTATTGCTGTTGAGGCACTCTTTGCCCTGGTGGCCTAAAATCTGTTTAAGCCAATTGCCTAGTATATAAGTGTCTATATAAAGAAAAAATCCTAGTTATCAATCAACGGTGAGATGCGCTGACCACCATGTGGCAGGGTCTTCCATCCTTCCAGTTTGCTTGTTGACATGTTCAGCTTCCAAGGTGGATCCAGTCTTGTTACCAACCTCAAACACCATCATGGACCGAAAGGCTTCCGGAAGCTTTGTTGCTTCAGTGGGTGAGACAGACACAAGCAGCGCACGCCCATGCATGGAGAATATCGACCGCATTTGAGGAAAGCCTTCCAACATGATAGACTCGCTGCACATGACCTTTGACATGGGCTTGTCTTTTTTTTAAGGTGTCCAGTTTATGTAGGGCTGGGATGTTCGACTTAGGCGAAGCATACCCCGAAGCATACCCCCGAAGCATACCCTGAAGCACACCCTCTGGAAATGCTACTACTTTAGTCTTCACACTGCGCGAAGCATACCCCGAAGCATACCCCCGAAGCATACCTCCGAAGCATACCCCATAGTCAAACATCCCGGCCCGGGAACCTTAAAAATATACAAACCCACATGATCCAGCCATATCGGAAATGAATAGGAAGAAAGGTAAAGGTGGCCCAAAGCACAGTGCTTTGTCGCACTCCTTTTGAGATCAGCAGATTTTGTGCGCCAGGTGATCGAACGGCACATCATGTCCAATGATGACGATCCTTTCAATCGTAAGCCGCTGGCTGTCAAGGTTCGGGAATGGCACGCCAAGATCTCCCTTATTTCGCTTGATAGGTGCAGATTTCAATCATTCTGACTCATCCGAGTTGCTGCAGGCGCGGAATGAATGCTTACAGACCAACATGTCTGACAGGATCTTTTGCCTCAGACAGAGCTTCGCGACAAAATTGTGGACTTTTGCAAGCAGCATGGCATCGTCATGGGCAATGAAAGTGCTACAGCCTCAAAGTGAAGGTCACTCAGATACAGATTTTGATTTAATTTAGCTGAGATATCAAGGATTGATGAGATGCCCCTGCTGAGCTTTCGTCAGCATCATCTACCTCGGGCTGTACCGTGAAAATCCCTGCGAAAGGCTTCGGCGACGCGCTGAGGGGCTCGAGCACAAAATGAGCAGAATGGGGGATTAGAGAACAGATCTGATGGAGTGTGGCCAAGCTACGAATGTTGGAAAAATCCGAATGAGTCATCGAACCCATGGGTGTTGGGAAAGCAAGTCACCATTCCAACATTCCTCTCTCGTGCCTACCAATGGCACACGTAGAAAGACCAGTTGTTTGAGGCATGGAGCCTGCAAAAACTTGCTGCAGCTAAAGTCAGACGGCAATACACTTGCTTGGCTGTGTGCCTGCAAAATGACAAGATTCACAGATGCCTTCTCTTCGGTTCTTCTCTTGAACAAATATATCAATGGATTGTAACTTGAAACACAGTACTAGAAGCGAATGCAGTCCCTAATTAGGGGAAAAGCAAGTCCTGTTGCAAGTCAATATCACCAAGCGACCATCACTACCATTACCGACCTTGCGCCAGTGCAGAGCAGTATGGTTCGATGCCGGTGAATATGTACCAAGAACGTGATCTCCGCATAAGGAGGCGACCCTGCAAAACGTAAAAAATAGAATTAGACTAAGATTGTCAGTCTTGAGCTAAGCCATTTGCAGCGGAGTGCCACATCAGCAGACTGTTTGCAGCCACGATACCATCTCTGAGAGAGTGCTACACTTGTTTGATGAGAGCTGGTTTGATTTGGATGGGTTACTTTTCAAAGCCATTCCTCAGGTCAACTGTTTCTAACCATTATACTTAGCCATGGCCACCATGGTCCCTGGTTTGAACTTGCGATTGCACAGCAATGCGCCCCAGCGCGCCTTGGCATGTAGGGACAAGGATTCGTCACGAATTGCTTCTGCGCTGCAGGTCAATCCTCCCAAACTAGTGGGTGAAAGTCTCAAACAAGGTCAACTGTAGGAAGTGTTGATTTCTGATGCTTGATGTGACGATGTGATGTGCAATGATTCAAGGATGTGCTGGTGTCCAGTGAGCCCAATGTGTTGTCGCATGTCTTTGTTGTTTGCAATGTTTTATGATTGTACTGTATGATGTCTCGCCCATAACGCCGGGGTGCAACTTGCGAAACCCGCACAACCGGCACCCAGTCCAATGCGTCGCCTCCCACTGCAACTCCGTTGGACAACCCTTATCACCACTCCACGCCAACACCAAGGCCACCTAGTCACACTAGACCTAGAGCTCGGCCCCTTTCTGCTCCTGTGAACTCGCCCACGTGCTAGACTTGTCCACTCTTCACAACTCGGAACTTTCTCAAGAGTTTCTTTTCTAAGCACAGTCCGGAGTGCAGGTTCAAAGAATGGGCACAGAACTTGACTTGCTTCACCTTTGGATCTCGCATTTGCTTCGCTATTCTGTTGGGAGAACTGTTCCTTTGTTCCAAGTTACCGTCTCATATAGCGACGACGACTTTGAGGAGGCACCTTTGTGACTCAGCAAGGGAAACACGGTAAGCCAAGCGGTTCGAAAGGCTTTGGAACAAATGAAAACTGTGCAGGTTCTTGTTGGGCAAAGAGCCCCACAGCAGCTGAAATGTGTCTCCTTCGCATCATGAAAGCAAGACAATCCTCGGATCAAATGTCAGGCTTCCGACTCTGAGGGAGATGCTGCCCTGCTGGCGGCGCAAGGCCTGCTGCTCACACATGAATAGATATTGGAATGATTGTAGCTTTTCAATGCTTTTCATAAGCTTTTCATTGTTCATACTAAGACTTCGAGTGTCCAATCTGCTGCCAAAGGTGACGATCTCGACGAACATCGACGAGCAAGGACCCCTTGATGACCTTGAGTGGAAGCTTTCTTTGTTTGTTGAACTTATACATCTTGTAGCTCTTCAGAATGGCAGCAGAACGTGTACTTTGGAATCTAACGCTTTCAACGTTTAAAGTTTTTGAGAGACAACACTGTATTAACCAGAGGAAGTCCAGGAAGTTCCAAAATCTATGCCAGTCAGGGAACTACTGAGCCAATTGCAAATTACCTCTCTTCTTGAAGCCGCACTAGTCCCCATGGTATGTTGCTAGATTCCCACCAGGATGCACCGGCCGGCCAGCCCTGAGCCCCCAGCTCTAGGTGCGCAGATCATATTTGGACAGTTATGCAGCAGAAAGAGTTTCTTCACAATGCCCAGCTTGTTTGGATATATTTCAGACAGTCCTTAGCACTGTACAGACTCTAGTACAGACTGTATAAGATGGCCGTGCAAAAGGTACAGTATCTCATGTGCTTATCAACTCTCTCTCCGATGAGGTGCCGAGCGGACAATAGATCCACGGAGCATGGATGAGCCTGGGCGGGACTGCTGCAGTCGTCTTTGCCCCAGTTGTTTCGAATCTCTGCACTGTGAGGACCGCTGGGACAGTGCAGTCGGGATGTCTGGTGCGAGGCCAGGTTCATATGTTCAGCCTTGATAATTGTGCTATAGGGCGGCTGCCGTTCTTTGTAAATTGAATCGTCTGTAGACAACCTGCTCGCTTGCCAATTATTGAAGCGTTCGGGCTCAAGAATTTGGCGCTCTCCCAGCAATGCTACACAAGGTGCGGCAGGCTTTTGGTCGATTTTACAACTCTTTCCTGTCAACCACCCATCCCACAGTGCGTTTGCAAGGGTTGGCCCACTGTGCTACCCATTTGCCCAGTTGCTTTGTCCAACCCGCAGACACGATTTAAGTTAATCTGCAAGTGCACCTGTGTCAGCCCGGGCACGCTCCAGCCTTGCACGTGCCTCCTGGTATCCCGGATCATGACGCTTTGCTTCTTTGGCATTTTGCTTGTATGGCCTCCCTGACAGCGGTTTTTGACAATGTTTTCAACTTGTTTATATCCCCAAAGCCGCATGACAAGCAATAGAGTCGACTTGCATTTTGCTCCTTTGAGCATGTTCTGACTCTTTGCCGGCAGCTAGGATTGATATGCATGGATTTTTGATCCAAGGACTGTGAAGAGCGACCAGCCGGAAGCAGGCAGACTTGTTGATAGTACACCAATCAAAAGCAACATTGCCTCGCTTTAAACTTAAAAGTGACTTCGTTATTGTTGACACACGCCGACATGATACTGAATGATGTTGTGATGTTTGCTCATGTGGTATGGCCTGATAATGTGGTATGCCGTGTCAATGATGTACACCAGTGCTGGCCTATGCTAATATGATGTATGCAGCGATAAACCACAATAGCCAGGAATCACTCTACTGCAAAATGCACTGGTTTTGAGACTGTTACTGTAGATCCTATAGAGATCTCCACACAATCTACACACACACTGTGGCTCTGTGTAGGCGGAATACCAACTGCAGCGAGTTCAGTGATATTTCCACGGCGGTGAATCCGTTTGCAGCTCCACGTCCAAAGCTGGTAGACTTCGTGGATAAGCAACTTGGCAGATGCAAATATTTCCTTTAAACTTTCGTTGACAATTGAAGCATTCATAGACATGGTTAAAACAAAGACAAATAGATTAAGCTCTTTAAACAAAACAACCTGATGAATTGAATACAATTGAGTACTTTTGTCACTCTTGAACCCCTATATACAATTGTTTCTCCTTTTTTCAGGGTACTTTGGGCACTGGTCTAGTTTAGTTTTCCAGTTTCTTGGGCGAATTTGTTTCGCTTCGATGCTAGTCGAGCATAGACTTGAGCACAATGGATTGACAATAGTTGTTGTTTCTTTATTTTTTTTCTTCGAAAGCTTGCTCGCATTGGCCCTGATTGGATGCGGTGAGATAAAACTATATATATATCATCTATTTATATGTATATATGTCAATGTCTCGTTTACTGCCCATTTTTAAACCACACACGTTTGTCGAGACAGTCGAGACGTACTCTGCATGCCCAGGTTGGAAACAGCTCTATCAAAGTGTGACGTGCTCAGCCTTTGCAACTCCAGAAACAAGGTTTGTTCACGGTTTATCGCGCACAGGATATACTGAGATTACTGAGGTCTATCTGATTATAGATGTCAGGCAGAAGATGCACTGTCCGAGCACTTGGCTGAAGCTTGGCCAATCCCAACGCAACATGAAGTCAAGATTGGGTTGAAGTCGAATTTTTGTACAGTAAGCAGCACTCCCAAATATTTCCTCTAGCCTACCTAGGCTGTGGAATCGCTTCAGAACACTTATGAGCCGCTTGGTCCAAGGGCGGCCTCCAATCTCCACAGGCAGTCATGTGTGGGTGTTGACTGTGCCAGGCATGACTTGGCTGCTTTGACGTTGGAGAACCAGACTCTTCGCCAACAGCTTGGAATGAAAGGCCGGAAAGCCACGACAAATAGTGAGGTTGACAAAGCCCAAACAAGATTGCATCGACCCATGTTTAGTTGATCGACCACCTTTAGCTCTCCTATTCTCTCCTCACAAAGACTGGCAACTGGTGAACTCTCAGAAGCCTTTCTGTATACTGTACTTATTATGTATATGATATATGTATGTAATTATTGATTGCCTTTCGCCTCTCTTGCTGCCTTTTAATTCCTGTTCCTGTTGATTCCTAAACGAAAGTATATACCCTGGACACCTGTACAGTGTAGAGATTTTGTAGGAATTTGATGATCAAGGATAATTTTACAATTGTACACCTCATTCCATGGAGCTTGAATTGCCTGCTCACATGGCACCTAGAACAGCAGAAACCATGTCGCTTCATTGAGTCCAATTGTGCGAGGTTTCGAAGATGTGAAGAAAGTGGTGTTTCAATCCCCCTCAGGTAGCAGGTGGGTGCTGCAGACTGTGGCAGAGACAGCAGCTTTATCATCCAGAACATTGAACTTGCTGAACTTGCTTGCAGAAAACGGCATGTGGAACACAAAAGTTGTATCAAGATCGATGTGCTTTGTTTGGTGGCCAAATGGGCAAGGCGGAACTCCCACTCTTCTCAGCCTTCGACGACGAAATCAAAAAATTGTTGGGTGGAAAACGAGGACACCCCTGTTAAGAGCCCGTCCGCACACAGCCGGAGACTTGATTTGAAAATACTTATTGTTTCTACTAGCTTCTTGTTACTAGTAGTAAGGCGCTTGCTCCTAGTAGCGATGCCAGGAGCCCCTTGTAGCGTCCTTGTTCCTAGTAGCGATGCCCTTTTCAAAAGCATATGCGGATTGTTTTCCCATTTCCATGGTGGCACGGCCTGAGTCAGGGCTTGTCAGTGCCAACAGCCAAGGAAGCTATCAATCAGCCGTGCCTCAATTGCGTCCATTTTTGAACTTCTTGAACATACAGCGGAGTCATTCCGTTCTACATTAGGGCAAGCAGCTGAGGAAAGAATCAGGATAAGATTGGAAAGGACGGCAGCTGGCAGGCAATTTCTGTCATGGAGTCTTCTGTTTTTTGCTGGAAAATCTCAGCATCCAGGTCTTCATGGCTTGGGTGCCTACTGGAACCGCTTTGTTGCAAGCGGAATCATACAAGCCATCGGAGAAGGAGGCCTTGGACCGTCAGATGCGGCCCGTGTTGTTTGTAAATTGATTGACAGATTAATTGATGCATATTTCTTTGGATTTACAGACAGGACCTGTGAGATCTCACTCAGGCCCAGGCGCAGGCGCAAAAGGCTCTCATGTCTCGCAAGAAACCGCGACCCTTAAGTAATGGATCCGGTGGTCTCGAACTCAGCCGAAGATGTCCTTGCAGTGAAGGGAAGTTGTTGGGGTGCAATGCAAGCTTGGTCACTTTTGCATAGTCTTTGTGAGGTGAGTATGCTTCTGTCGTCCCGCAAGAGACCAGCAAGTTTACCCTTGCTGTTGATGGAGAGGACATTCTGGCATGGCTTGGCCAAACAAATGGTACAAATGCTTGCCTTCTCAGGGTGCTTTTCAGATTAAAGTATTCTCCTGATTGCGGAACTCCCTCATTCTTTTCAGCCAGATGTTACGTTCAATATTTGGTTGTTGTGTCGACTTTGCCAGCATCCTGTGCTCCCAGTTGTATTGTCAGGATTCTGACAGCGATAGCTCCGAAAGCAGATCTTTGGCTTAGAATATATATATACTGTATATATATATTAATATATATATATATGTTGGATTCCTCAAAGTCTCAACGAATTCCTAACAAGCCCAGCATGCAATTCTCGCAATGACAGATGGTCACGTTTGAGACAGACATATATGGAGATATTTGTGAATGCATTCACAATCGCACTTGCACCTTACGTGTACAGTAGAAAGGAAGGAGGCACAGTAATGGCAGCACAGGGTCCTTATATCACACAATTGATAGTCCCAGCCTGAGGCAAAACGGACCACAAGCAAGAGTATGCTGTGCTGCCCGTTTGGGAGGCGGAGATTCTGAGATGCTTAATTGCTTCCCACCAGCCAAGAACTTGATACATAGTCGGTCGAGCAGTTTAAGTCCAAACTCATTGCTAAACTGCTAAACTTCCAGTGATCCCCCACAGTCATAGTTCTCCACCATTTGAAGAAGGATCATTCTGGTGCATAGCGCTATATAGCGCTCACAAAGGCCTCGGAGCGATTGCAGAAGAAGTTGAAGAAGAACAGCCGCTCAGAAGCGGCCAGCTCTGTAGCTGGGAAGCATTGCAACCTGAGAGCGATGGCCTCCAACCTACTAGCAATGGCCTCCCACCTAGAAGCGATGGCCTCCCACTAGCGATGGCCTCCAACCTACTAGCGATGGCCTCCAACCTACTAGCGATGGCCTCCAACCTA